GATTACCCAATTTACCGCTGTCTTAGCGCAAATCGTGCTCTTAACTCCATTGCTCGGTGTATCTTTGATGGGATCCCTAAAGTTAACAATTTTTGAAAGGTATTTGTCCGAAAGCACGATGAGCAGAGTTACGCACATCGGTTAAGTTAGAAGTTCTTGTTGCAAACTGACGAGGTTGTCTTGACTTTTGCCATTTTTCAACTTCAGCTCATCATTAGGATAACATAGCAAGGACGATTATGAAATTTCAAATGAGTGGGCCGAAAATTATGGTCAGGAAAAGACACCTTACGCCTTACTCCAGCCATTTCGATGACTTCATCCTGACTGAACTGAGATACACAGCTCTGCGAACAGTCGTGTGCTTCAAGCAAATATACATCTATTAAAGGACGCTGTTCCCCGTGATTCATGCTGGGACGGTGGTCAGATTGGGTAAACTTGGGTTATTTGTCATTTGTACCAAACGCTGCCTTCAGCGAATAAATGCCTGACTGCCAATAGGTTCAAAAACGCTGTAAGCGTTTGCATTAGTAAAGTATACGGAGAATCCCATCACAAAGAAAGATTTAGGTCGAAGAAATTACCAATTTATGGCGATTAGAGAAAAAATGTTTCGTTTCAGCGTTTCAAGGAGAGATGCTCCAAAGTTTGAAGTCCCACCTTTCGAAAAAAATATGGAGTCAAGGAAAGCGATGAATAAGAAGAGAAGTACGTTTAACATTTTGCTAGTTTTCTTTGGCGCTCTTTGTATTTTACTCCAATTTTCCCATAGTCATCGAACTAAATCGTAAACTGCTATAGCATAAGATTAAAAATCATATTCTGGTTTGATTTAGAGTTTTATTTGAGCAAAGTTAGATATGCCTTCTCTTCGAATGCGCCTTTAATTATATTCAACTCTGTAGTTCAGTCACACTGTTTGCTTGCAAATATGATGTCTGGTCAGTAAATTGCTAGTTTAAAGTTATTCTGTTGTGCATTTCAAAAGGCCTCGTGATCGCAACGATCCTTGAAACTTTTTGTTCAAAACAATCTCAGTTTGTGTAAAAATTCATCGTTGCTTTTGTTACGCAATTCACCTAGGCATGCATATCAAAAGTAACCGAGCATTATAGATATAAGTGTTTAGAAACCATGTTTTAAAAGATTTATCATGAGATATTTCCGAATAGCTTTGGGCTTACCTATCGCCGCAACTGACGGCGAAACTCAATCTGTCCAATTTTCAAAAAATGCGATGCAAATGTGAAGTATTTATATCGCATTCCTTCTGATGTGCTAACACTTGCGTGGGAAATTTGTGGTTACCAGTGCTATTGGAGGCACAGAACACCTGTCTACCGCGCCTCAGTATATCGCGGCGCGACAAAGTCCCAGAACTATCATCGCCGCAATTTTCAAACACTTATTATCCGAAAGGACAAAAATGAAAGACCCTATGACTTTTTGGATCGTCTCCCTGTTTGAAATCTTGATAGAACATATTCTCAAATAAATTATTGTAGATGGATGGAAACAATATATGAAATTGTAGGTCTATCGTTTGGCTAATTGCCTAAGTCTCACTAAAAGAGTGTGAGCAAGCTATAGTCAAATGAATCATAAGTCAGATGGAGAAGAA